CGTCCACCCCTGGCCCTGCTTTAGATGATGAGACCTGGGCTTGCAGCAGGACCCGTATGCTGCAGTGGGATGAGACATGTGTGAGAAATTCGAATCTGGTGGCAGAGGGCAAATTGTGCCGGCTTTACCACATGGCGTCCGATTATGCAACACTCCCTCACTGAGAGGTAAGACCTCTGCCTCTGCTCCTTAATTCAGGCTCTGCTTGGTCAGCAGAATATGGTGGAAGCCATGCTGGGCCAGCACCCAGGCCCAGGCAGCTTCTACTTCCTATCCCTTGAGATACTCAATTTCAACTCAGCCACCATGTTGTGAGGAAGCCCAAGCATGGCGAGGCCGCATGTGGGCGTCCAGGCGTCCATAGCCAGTGAGGTCAATAGCATGAGCCTTCTTCTACAGATGAGGGATGGAGGCTCACGGAGGCGAGGCGAACCCATTTCACAGACAAGGAAACTGAGGCTGGGGAGGAGCGATCCAACTCGGCCTAGCAAGCCACAGCACTTAGCTCAAAATTGAGGCCTCGGGGAGTTGCCGAGTGTCAGAGCTGGAGAGGTTTTGGTGGTCGTTGTGCACATTTAGAAGAAGTCTTGATGGTGCAGTGGTTAAAGCGCTCAGCTGCAAACCAAAATGTCAGCGGTTCAAGCCCACCAGCTGCCCTGAGGGAGAAAGAGATGGCAGTCTGCTTCTGTAAAGATTACAGCCTTGGAAACCCTATAGGGTCATTATGAGTCGGAATTGACTTGATGACAACAGGTTTCGTGCCCACTTAGTGGCCAGGAGCTCAAGGTCGCTGAGCAGTTGGAGGCTGAGGCCATGCCCTCAGACCCAGGCCTGTCTGGCTTAGGCCCGTCCTCCTCCCACAGCCCCAGAGCTGTCCTGGGCTGTCTCAGCAGGCCAGGCCGCAGGTGGTGAGGTCACCCAGCCAAGCGTGAGCCTTGTGATGGGCCCAGTCCGTCTCTTCTCCCAGCCTGGGGCTTGGACGGGGGGAGGCTTGTGGCCTTCAGCTGCCACCCTCAAGGCCATGCTGGCCAGTCAGCTAGATAGATGCTGCCCCTGTGAGAAGGGGCTGTGGCCTTGGGCACCCCCTGCCAGGGCAGGCTGGGAGGAGGCGGCCCTGCAGGGTCACAGTACAGGGGTTCCGGGGCTTCGCCAGCAGTGGGGCTGAGAGCCCAAGGACAGGCCAAGATGGAAAATGGCCCTCCTGCTGCACCCCTGCTGGACAGATGGAGACTTGGGCTACAGGGGCATGGCCTCAGAGCTGGAGCCCTGGAGCCTATATGAGGCACGCTCACAGATGACGCTGCAGGACCCACGCTCCCCATGGGCCTCCTGGCCCCACACCTGTCACCTCAGGGTGGGGGCTTCATGGAACTTCCACATTTGCCACCCTAGACTGGCAAGAACGTACCCTGTTCTATGGCGGCTGTCTGCCTGGGGTCCCCTTCCATCTGAGCTCTGTACACTGTCTGGGGACCACAGGCCTCAAGGGGTCCGTGGTCCCCAGGCGCTTTGAAGCCTGCCGTGAACACCTGTTTCCCTCGGCAGTGGGAGCCCTGGGTTGGTTCCCGAGGCAGAGGTGCTTCCATCCTCGCAGCTGCTGAAGCCCCTCGGCTCTGTTTTTCCAGCTACACAATGGGAGGAGCAGGGGCTGGGGCCTGAGCTCCTTCCCTTCCCTGTCCAGTCCGCCCATCCCTTGGGCCCAGTCCCACTGGATCTTGAGGAGCCTCCCTCCCACACTTGCTCCGAAGGCTGGGTCCACAGTCGTGAGGTCTGCAGGTCAAAACTGCGTGCCAGTGGCGGCAGTGATGCGTTTCTAGGCCGAGCGGTGCGCTCGTCTGTGCGCATGTCCCATGTGCTGCTGGATAAGTGTGCTCGCGGGCAGTGAGAGAGTCTTTGCCTGTCGGGGCAGCTGGGCCCTGTCCATGTGTCTGTCGGTGCTGTGTGCAGTGGCCTGGAGGCATGTTCCAGCCGTGTGTCCGCTGAGGCCAGGGTCTGTGGGTTCCAGTTGCTGAGGACGGGACCCAGGGCCATGGGCCGCAGCTGCAGCCTGGCGTGTGCTGCCACCTGGCGGCCAGGCAGGCACCGTCCAGGACGTGGCCCCACACAGGTGGGCCGCACTGGGGGAGGGTTGTGTGTGTGTGGGACAGTCCCCGGTGGGGCCTCAAGGGGCTCCAGATGGCCTTTACTCTACCGGCATCAGTGTCCCTCAGAGCGTCAGGTCCCACAGTGCCCAGGGAGACGAGACCCCTTGGAGACCCAGAGTGGACAGAGGCAGTGGTGGGGGCAAGTGGGTGGTGCTCAGTTCTCACTGGTGAGGGCAACTCAGCGCTGAGCTGGGAGAGCGGGCACCCCTGGGGCTGCAGGGGGGCAGCTGGAGGTGGGCTATCAGTGTGGTCTGCAGGCAAGAAGCCCTCAGGGGAGGGAAGGGAATCCCAGCCCCTCAGGCCCGCAGCCTCAGCCCCCAGCCCAGCCTATCTGGGACCAGGACTCAACCTCCAGCCTATGCCTGCTCCCCTCCTTGCTTCAGCAGCTACTCTGTGACCACTGTCCAATCTTTCTCCTTCCCTCTATCCCTCCCTCCTTCCTTTTCTCCTCTCCCCTCCCTCCCCCCCTTCCTTCCTTCTCTTTTCCTCCCTTTCTCCCCTTACATGGGTGAAGGCCAGCATTGCTCACCCCCTGGGTCTGACAGTGTCCCTCTGAAAGGTGGCCCTGGAGGACAGGCGCTGTCTGTTTGCCTACCTTCTGCCCTGGCGTAGGGGGACAGGGTGCCCTCGCTCTCCCTTCTGCCCTTGCCAGGGAGTTGGGCGGGGAGACCCTTGGCAGGGGCAGTGTGGTGGGCCTGCTGCCCTTTGAAACCCTTCACTCTCCCTGAGGGATGTTCTTAGGGCATTCACGCCTGCACCCCTCAAGGTGGGGACCCACTTGGTTGGCACACAGAGCCTCGAGGAGGGGCAGCTGACGGAAACACCATGTGGGCTGAGCTCTAGGGGTGGGTGAGGAGCAGGCAGGGGTGCTGGGGACAGACACTATGAAGACAGGAGGCTTTCTGTGAAAATAGGTGGAATATATTTGAAAGAATATTGAAGAATATTGAATATACCATGGACTGCCAGAAGAATGAACAAATCTGTCTTGGAAGAAGTACAGTCAGAATGTTTCTTAGAAGCGAGGATAGGGAGACTTCATCTCACATACTTTGCACGTTATCAGGAGGGATGAGTCCCTGGAGAAGGACATCATGCTTGGTAAGGTAGAGGGTCATCAAAAAAGAGGAAGACCCTCAAGGAGATGGATTGACACAGTGGCTGCAACAATGGGCTCAAACATAGCAACGATTGTGAGGATGGCGCAGGACCGGGCAGTGTTTTGTTCTGTTGTACACAGGGTCGCTATGAGTCGGAATCGACTCGATGGCACCTGACAACAACGACAAACAACGTATTTGGAAGGATGAGTTAGCTATGACTTCTACAGTGCAACCTCAGAGTCCCATTCTGTGGCTCACGTAATGACGCTGAAGAGGCATTCTGAACGGCACACACCACCTTCTAGAAAGGCAATTTTTTGCCCAGTTTGGTATCTCAAGATACTAGAATAAAAACTTTGTGACATACACATTGCACCAAAGGTAAAAATTAAAAAAGACAACAGGACCATGTACCTTAGCAATACCTGTGAGCAGTGTGTCCTGTTGCGCCTTTAAACACGATTCTGCACGAACGCCTTGCATCTACCCTCTCTGGGCTGGTTAATGCATGAGGGCCCTGCACGGGCCACACCTCCACGCTGGCCCCTGAGTGCGCCTATTTGGCTGCAGCAGCCCTTGCTGTTTTGCCCACTCAGACCTTGGGGCCTACAGAGGCCAGTGGGAGATGCTGCACGTCTTCCATACAGGTGTCTTCCTGTAGCACCCTGACCCCTTTTCCCCCTCCCAACCCCCCAGAAAAAAAAAAATCAAAGAGGCCTGTATTCACATTACAACATGAAAATAGCACCAGAAACTTCAGAGTAAAATTGCTGACACTTAGAGCTGAGGGCTCTGACAGAGGAAGGCTCTGAACGGGGCAATTATGGGGGCTGAGGGCCCAGAAGTGGGGATGAGGAGGGAGAGCCGGTGAGTGGTGGTGGACGGGCAGTGTCCCCCTCGTTCCATGTGAGAACCTTGTCCCAGGGATCATGGTGCACTGGGGGATGGCGTTTCCACGGCAGCACGGGCAGTGGTCAGCATGGAGTGGTCAGGGAGGCTGTGCACTGAGCTCACTTGAGGAGGCCTGGCGGCTCAGCACAGCCTTCCAAGACCCTCCCCCTCCATTTGGTTTCTAACATCACTCTGAAATTACAGCAGTAGCAGCGGCAGCAGCAGCAGCAGCAGCAGCAGCAGCAGCAGCAGCAGCAGCAGCAGCAGCAATGAGACTAAAGGGGAACCTACCACCGCCGCCCCCTTGACTGCCTTCCCCATTCCATGGACACTAGGGGGAAGCTGTGTGCAAAACATCGCCCTCAGGGGCTCTACAGCATCCACGCCTGGCTCCCCTTGGGGTGGGTGGGCTGCTCTCTCAGGTGCTTGGTGCCAAGGACACAGACGTGGCTCGCAGGGGCTGCAGCTGGCTGCCCCCAACCCCAGCCCTGCAGCACAAATGGGTGGTTCTCAGCCCTATACCCAACAGGGTGCCACCCTGGTACCAGTCCGAGTCCACACCCTGAGTCAGAGGGTCAAAGGGAGGAGGGCCACCAGGTGAGCTGGCCCGGGGTCTGGAGGCCATGGCACTGGAAGTGGGCCCAGGTTCACGGCTTGTACTTGCTTCTCGTCCAGACCTGTGCACCCTACTTGGTGGGGTCTCTCTCACCCCCACCCAGGTCTGTGCACACCACTCGGCAGGGTCTCAGCCCCTGCCCTGCTCCCAGGACTGTGCACACTATTCAGCGGGGTGTCATCCCCTGCCCTGCACCCACCACTCAGTGGGGTCTCATCCCCCACCCTGTGCCCAGTCCTGTGCACACTACTCGGCCGGGTCTCTCTTGAGCGGGATCTTGAAGCTGGTCAGTCTCTGCCCGAAGAGCTGGCTGAGGAGGTGGTTCTGGGACTCAGCAGTGCAGAGGGCTCGGGGGAAGGCAGGGACAGCTCTGCCTCTCCTGGGGGGCCCGTGTGGGGGCCTCTTCTCAGGGGCAGCCATGCCCGGCCCCTCCCTCCTGCTCTGGAAGCCCCCAAGGCTGACGCCAGGAGCCCCCATCCGGCACTCTGAGGTCTGCAGCGGTACCTTGTCTGTCTGTCTGCTCAGTCGGGGCTTGGCAGGGGGCACGCGGCTTGGGACTGCCTGCTTCCGGGGGTTCCGGGGGGGCCTGTCAGGCACCAAGGGGGCTCTCCCCAGGCCCCCTGCACTCCCGCTCCTTGTGGGTCCAGGGGTGCGGCCCTTCTTCCTCCCATCACCTCCCATGCTCTCTCTGGGGCCCAGGCTGCCTTGGGGCCCCTGCTCCCTGGCTCCCCTGGGCCCCTGGCTGTGGCCTTTGGCTGGGGCTTGGGGAGGGGGCTTGGCTGGCGGGGGGCTCTGGCCTGGACAGGGGGGCTTGGCGGGGGTGGTGGCTGTCTCACTTTGGAGCTGCCCAGTGGCTGGCTGGGCCTGGCTACCGCCCCCTGCTGTGACTCTGTGTCGGGGATCCCCACTGTCCTGGGAGCTGGGGTCTGGCTTGGCTTTGGGGGTGGTAGGCCTTGGCCTGTCCTCAGCTTCCTGGGCTGGCTCTGTGGGGACCCGGCACAGCACGGCCTTCCTCGGTGGCACAGGGACTGTGGGCGCTTTGCTTGGGGCAGACACTGCCAGCTTGCTCTCTGAGGAATCCCGGATACTCCCGGCCTTGGTGGCACCCCCCTTGTGGGAGGCGCCCTCCAGGCCCTCTTTGGGCACCATGTGACTTCTGGGCACCTGTTTCTCTCTCTGGGCCAGGGAGGGGTCTTCCAGGGAAAGGTCAGGGGCACACTTGCTGGGGGCACCTGGGCTCCCGTGCTTTCCCGAGAACAGACGTGGAGGCATCTTTTCCTCTCCGTCTTGGCTTCCGCCCCCTGGCAGGGGCAGGGGTAGCTCTGGAGGGACAGTGTGAGGGTGGAGGGGCGCAGGACTGCCAGAGGGGCCTTCATCCTCTTGCCCAACTTTGCCACCAGCCGGGGGGACTGGGAAAGGAGACAGGGGCGGGGGTAGAAGTTCCTGGCAGTCAGGCAGCGGGTCGCCTGCCCTCACTGGGCTGCCCTCTGGGTTCAGGGTCCTCTCCTGCATCTGGGACTGTCCCTGGGCAGCGATGGGAGCTGGCTCTGGGCACGGCAGGTGCAGGGCTGGGGAGGAAACGGTGCCTGGGGCAGGGCTGCTGCCCTGGGATTGGGGCCTGTCCATGCTGGGCCCCAGGGCGCTGCCAGGCACAGCCACTCGGCGCCGTTTGCTGGGCCGCGCACCCTCAAGGGCTGGGGCTTTCCATCCTGGGGTCGCCGGCCTCCTCACGCCGCGGAAGGCAAATGGCTGCTGGCCAGGCCTTCGGTGCTTGTCCATGTGACGGTCAAACTGCTCCTTCTTGGCGAAGGTGTAGTTGCAGGCGCTGCAGATGAAGGAGCGCTTGATGATGCGCATGACGGTGGCACAGAGCTCGCACGTGTAGAGTGGTGTGGGTGGCCGCTCTGGCTCCCCCCGTGCCCCATGCTCCCGGCCACGGTGGGCGCGCAGCTGGCGGTGCTCCGCATAGACATGCGGGCACTGGGGGCACAGGAAGATGCGCTGTGGGCTGTGCACTGCCAGGTGGCGCTGTAGCTTGAAGGGCTTGGGGAACTGCTTCCCGCAGTGGTGGCAGTGGCGGGAGGGGTCCTTGCAGTCTGCATGTACAGGCATGGCTCTGAGGAGGGGCTCACTGAGGGACTGGGGGTTGGGGGACAGGCTGGGAGGCGCCTTGGCAGAGCTGGATGGAGCAAGGTTGGGTGGGCTGTCATTGGCCCCAACGTTGGTGTTGATCAAGCCTCTGCCTGGCATCAAGGTGCCATCTTGGTCTAAGGGGTTGGCCCTGGGAGCCTTGGGTTTCGCCTTTGTCCTCCTTGGGGCCTCTCCAGGGCCCCCACTGGCTTTGGGGGTGGTGCGCTGGCCCCTGTGGGGCTGAGAGGCCTGCCCCAAGATGCCGTTGAGGAAGTGTGGGATGACACTGCCCTCCTCCAGGCAGCCAGGCAGGTCCCCCAGGGATGTCCTTGCCTGGCCCCGGCGGGCAAAGCGCACAGCATGCTCACGCAGGTGCTCGTTGTACATCCAAACGTCGGGTACCTGGCGCAGGCACATGCCACAGGCCCACAGTCCTGCCTTGCACTGCACGTGCTTCTCCCGAAGGTGCTCGCGCAGCAGCTGGCGCGAGCTGAACCGGCGCTCCACGCACATGTAGCAGGTGGGTGGTGGCGAAGGGCTGTGGGCCAGCTTGTGGAGGTCCAGCTCGCCCAGGCCGCCAAAGCGCCGGAAGCACACCTTGCACTTGTAGGTGCCCCTCTTGTCTTTCACCGGGCAGTCTCGGTCGGGGCCCCTGCCCGTCGCCTCCAGCCTTGTGTCCTGTGACCCCTGAGAGCTCGCCTCAGCCTGGAGGCCCATAAAGCTCATGCCAGAGAGTCCCATGGGGTCTTCACAGGGCCCCCGGAGGCACAGGTCTTGCATTTCAAACTTGGTGCTGAGCGCGTTGAAATCCAGGGCTGGGAACTGTGGCAGGCCTGTGATTCCAGGTGGGCCGCCATTGGAGCCTTCTCTCTCTAGGCTGGGGGGCTCAGGGCTCATTTCCCTCAAAGAGGAGGAAGCCTCATCAGGGGGTGCCTGCAGTTCCAGGCCTTGCCAGGCAGCTGGGACCCTGTGCAGCTCGGGGAGGCCCTCCGACAGGTTGTCCAGGCAGGGGCCAGTGGGTGCCTCCTCAGTGGGGGCAGTGAGCGGGGAGGGTCCCTTCTCAGGCTGCTCCAGGGGCCACAAGCTGGGGCTGGGGGCCCAGGGCTCGATCCCAGGCACCTTGCTGCTGAGGAAACCATCGACGAAGAAGGCCTCGGGCAGGCCAGGGGCCTCATCTGCCCAGGGCTCCTCATGGGACAGGCACGGGGAGCCTGAGTCACTCAGGTCTGTGGGCAGGCGAGTGGAGCATGGCGTGGTAGGCCCCCCCACTTCGATACGGGGCTTCGGGGGTGGTGGTGGTGGCGGCTTCAGCTTCTTACTGCGTTGCCCATAGACACGGGGATTCTTCTTCCGTGTCAAGCGGTTGCCCAGAGGGAAGAGCTGAGAAAATGAGGCCTCATCATCAAACAGGCCCAGGGGACCCTCAAGACCCAGGCTGGAGTCTCCGGACACACTGCCCTGGAGCTCCTGAATGCAGTCCCCAGCCTCTGGGTGGTCCAAGAAGCCTTGGGGGCTGCAGCCAAGAGGGCTGCTCATTTCGGAACTGGGAGCCTTGGGAGCACCTGAGGGCTCCAAGGTGGGCTTGGATGCCCCCATTACACCTTCCCCTGGCCTGCTCTCAGCCCACCTGCCATCATCTGCAGCCCTACTCCCGGCTGCATGTGATGGCTTTGTGCCAGCTCCAAGTGTTCTGGGTTCTCTCAGTCCCCAGAATCCACTTGATGCATCCTGCCCTGCCTGGCATGGGGTCATCACATCTCCGAGTGGGCTTCGGGCCTGTGTCTCCTTGGTGGATGACATCCTGGGACCCACATTCTCTGCATTTGCTGTCACCCCTGGCCCCGGCACAGCAGTGCGTGGTGGCTGCCCCGCATCTGTCTCTCTCTCTCCCTCTGGTGAGAGGCAGCGGCTCGGCTGGGCTTGGTAATTGGCAATCGCACTTGATGGATTTGCGCTGGGGCTACCTGGAATCACATCAGGGGCAACTTGAGGACAGCTCTTCTCCAAGTCAGAAGGCTTGCTCTTCTTCCGGAACCTTCTCATGCTTGCTTTCCTCCCTTTCTGATTTGATTTCCCCTCCAGGTCACTGGGGAAGCCCCCCGGCTCTTTGCCTCTCTGGGCTCCTCTTGGCTCTGCGTGTTGTGGATGGGGCACGTTCCCCTGCAGCTCGTCAGACTTCCTGGGTCTGGGGGACCAAGGCATCATGCCTATCCCTTGGCTGAGCAGGTCTGGGCTCCATGGCTCAGGGTGGGGTGGGGAGCCTGGTGCCCCAGAAACGCTGAGCCCTTGCCTGGCCTCCAAGGGTGTCTCCATTCCCAGCCTGTCCTCAGAGGAGACCTGGCTGGGGGTTGGTGGCCCCACAGCGAGACTGGGCCCCATGAGCTTGTTCCTTGGTTTCTCTTTCCCCGGCGCTTTGCGGCCTTTCTTCCCAGGGGCCTGGGGTGTGCTGGCTGGGGGCCCCGGGGCCCCATGGGCGGGAAGGCCAGCCTGGTGTGGCAAAGAGGGGCCACCGCGGTGCTTCCTGGCCTTGTGCCGGCTCAGGCCAGGCCCGGAGCGGAAGGAGGCCCGGCAGATCTCGCAGGTGACAATGAGGAGCACCCCCGGGCCAGGGCCCTCCGTCCTCTGACTGTGCCCCAAGGGCTGGGGCTTCTTCTGAAAGCCCTGGGGCTTCTGCTTGGCGTCTTGGGGACACAAAGGGTCTCCCCTGTGTGCTTGGCGGGGGGCATGTCTGTGGCTCTGGGGGGAACTAGACCATCCAGCACCAGGTGTCCCGGGGTCCTCCAAGCCATCGCTGCTGGCCCCTGCCCTGTCCTCCGGGCAGGAGTGTGAATCCGGCCCTGTGGCCTCCACGAGACACGTGTCTGTCAGTTTGGCTGTGACATGCTGGCCTTCCCCGGGACCTGGAGGAGCAGTGCTCCTTGGGGGCTCTGAGGAAGTACACCAGGGCCCTGGCGACACAACCCTGGCGTCCAGTGTCGGCAGCCTTCCGGCCACCTCCACGCCATATTCAGCGGGAACGCTGGGATGGCCAGGGGCCTTGCCGGTCCCTCTTGGGGAGACGGCTCCCGCTTGGGGAGACAGGGCTGCATGGGCAGAGGGCCTCCTCTGCCTCTCTTTTCCAGAATGCTCTACCACTCTGGAAATGCTGCTGTCAGGGCAGTGCCCCTCACGGGCAAGAGTGAAGTCTGAGCCAGTCTGGCCCTGTGAAGGTGCATCCTCCAGGGGGCTGCTGTTTGCCAGGCCTCCCTCAGGGCCACAGGGGCTTGTCCTCCCCGGTGGGGGCACAGCTGGGTGCTGCTCAGCCCCAGCACTGGTGGGGCCAGGGGTGCAGCTGGCTCTTTGCAGGGGTGTCCAAGTTGGGGAAGGAGGCAGCAGATGCTGTAGGCAGGGGGAGTCCCTGCAGGATGGAGATGCTGGGAGCAGCCCCCCTGGCTTGCCTTGGGCCCCCCTGGCACCTGCAGGCACAGAGGGAGGGTCCTCCCGGGGTATGTGCTCAGGGTTGCAGGGCCCCTGGGGGGCTGCAGAAGCAAGTGAGGGGGCGCAGTGGGCCAGGTCCTCGACAGGGCATACTGGACTCCCCCCAGCAAGCCCCAGTTGCTTCCTATGGTCTGGGCTGGCCGCTGTCTCTGCAGTCTGGTTCTCACGTCCATTTTGAGCATGGGCAGCTGTCAGGGCCAGCACTGAGGCCCCCCTGCCAGGGTGGATGGGAGTTGGGGGGTCCCCTGCCTGAAACTGAAGACTCCAGGCCACCCTGCCTCCCTCAAACTGTCCCCCAAGCCCGCCTGTTGCCCCGGTGTGCCTGGTCAGTGCGGCTCCAGGCTCAGCCTTGGCCATGGCGAGGTCACCTGGATCCCCCAAGGCCCCCTGCTCCTCTGGCTGCAGCTGGCTGTCTTGGCCTTTGGGATCTGGGGCCCAAGACCTGGCCTGGCTGAGTGAGCCCAGGTGTCGATCTGCCTCTGGCCCCAGCGGACAGCCGGCCACAGCAGGAGCAGTTATCCCTTGCAAATCTCCGTTGGAGTTCTGGGCTTGGCTTCCGGCTACGCTCCTACCATCTACACCATCCCCTCCTGGACCTGCGGGATTACTGTGCTGAGGGCACTTGGCTCCATCTTCACTTTCAGCAGCTCTGGCCACCAGAAGCTGGAGCTGACCAGGGCTGGTGGCTGAGGCCGGGGGCCCGATCCCTGGACCAGCATCGGGCACATGGGCAGGATGCGGCACAGGGCTCGACTGCACCTTTGCTGGTTCAGACACCTTGTTACCCACTGATTGTTCCTGGGGAGCACCGCAGTGTCTGGCACCAGAGAGGGGTATGGCCCCCAGAGGGAGACCTCCACCACCCTGACCCTCCAGGCTAGGTGTTGGATGGGTGATGGGGCTGCCGTAGGTCCCTGACTCGGGAGTATCTTGGCATGCCCTCCCTGCCTTGAGGGGCTCTGGGGACAGGCCCTCTCCTCGTTTTCGGGGACACGGCAGCAGGACCTCCCCACCTGGGTGTGTTCTGGTGGTCTCGTTACTCCTAGGAAACCAAGGCTCTCGGTCTGGGCTGCCGTCTGTGGAGCTCCTGGCATCCAGGAGGGTTGGGAATGGCTTGATGGGGTTGGGCAAATCGATGTCCAGGCAGACCCCACCATCCCCCTCTGCCTGGGCAGGCTCCATCCTCTGGACTTTGGCCGTCTGGGGGGCTGGCTGAACAGTGTGGCCAGCCCCAGGGGGGCTGACAGGAGCTGTGGACTCCACACCTTCTCGGACACCAGGATGCAGGGCCACTTCCACAAGGCGGCAGGAGGCCGGGCAGGGCCAGCACCCCTGGGGGCTCCCCAGAGCCCTTTTCTCAGAAGCCACCGCCGTTTCCGCACTGTCCTGACATGGACTTGATCTCCCAAGACCAGCAAAACCGTCTGCCAAGAACGTGTCCTGCTGGGGCATGGTGGCTGGGCTGGCAGGTGGTGTAGGGGGCTGGCGTGTGCCTCTCCCCAGGTTTTTGCTGCCCTTGGGCTCCACATCCGGTAGCATGGGGGCCTGGCCTTCGACCATGCTTGTCTGCAGCTGACTCTCCAGCTCGGTGACCAGCCGTTTGATCTCTAGTTCCTCCTCTGACAGGCTGTTCACAAATGTAGCACCACCTTCGCTTCCCTTCCCTGGTGGAGGGGGCAGGCTGGGCGCTGCTGGCTTCTCACTGAGACCCTTCTGGCCACATGACCTTCCCCCTGGGGGGTCAGGGAAGTGGCCCATATCGCTGGGCAGCCCAGGGGACACTTCCTCCAGCAGTGACCAGTCTTTCTGGGGCACACACATGGGGTACGGCGGGTCCAGCAGGGACTTCCTCGGGGGCGAGTTGGCACAGGTGAGTGGCGTGTGGTTGTCCTTATTTGCCAGCAGGCTGTCATAAAGCAGGGGGTCGAACCTGTCTATGGGCAGCCTGCTGAAGAGTGAGGTGGGCTCCAATGTCAGTGGGGACTGCACGTCGCCGGGCTCCATTTCAGCAGGGTAGGATGCATTCCTGGGAGACTTTTGCACAAGGGGACTGGCATCCACAGTGTCCCGGCAAAGGCACACACTGTCAACTGGCCCATTTGGAGCCAAGGGTTTGGAGCACAGGTCTTCGAAGCAGGGGCCAGCCGGCTCTTTGGGCCCGAGGAGTAAGTCACTGGGAGGACTTCTGCAGGCTGGGGCCCCTTTCTTGGCAGCTGGGACCCCTACAGGGTCTCCCTTACACTGACGAGGCTCCCAGCCAAGACCCTTGCTCTTTAAAAGCAGGGTGATGGGTGCGGGGCGAGCAGCATCTGTGACTCTTGCAGTGGGCATGAGCAATTCTCCTGGCTGGAACTTTGGCGGGCACCCTCCGTCAGGAGAGACAAGGGGCCAGCCATCTGCACCTGCTGGTGGGGTGTGTCCCCTTGGCTCCATGCCAGTGAGGCTTCCTGCTGACCGGGGAGGGCTGGTGTCTTCTCGGCCAGGTTGGGGCTGCTCTGGGGCTGGGGGGCTGCTGTCTCCTACCACACCGTTGCCCGGAGACAGACTGGAAACCTCTCTGAGAAGTTTCGTGGTGCCAGTGGGGACTTCTTGAGCAATCTCAGCATGCTTGGTCTCTTGGAAGAAGCCCAGCAGTGGGCAATTTTGCTTTGGTGTCCCTGTGCTGACAGAAGTGTGACTGGCACCCTTGGGGACTCTTTCCTCCTGGGGCTCTCTGAGCCTGGGGCTTTGCAATGGGCCTGAGGCAGCCTCACCTGGAGACTCTGGGTCCGGGGAGCCCCTGTCTGCCCCTGCTTCCTGCCTTACAACCTTCTTGGATGTCTGCTGGTCTTGCTCGTCTCTGGGGCCCGGGGTCACTCTGGCCCGTATGTCCTTCTTCTTCTCCCCTCGGCGCTGCCCCTGGCAGTTGAAGCGGGGCCAGCCTTTGGCACCAGATGCCCGCTGCGGAGGGTCAGGTGCAGCCCCCGGGCCCTTGTCCTCCTCGGACTCGGAGGCGTAGTCATATTCTCGGAACCTACCATTGGCGAGGCTGGGTGAGGGCCGCGTGGCCACCAGGGAGACATGGCCGTCACGGCCTTGGCCCTCCCGGCGCCGGTGTAGCTCGTTCTTCTGTTGTACAATCTTGTGGATGAGCTCCTTGTTCCAGCGGCCACCACGAGCAGCCCTCCTCCGGGCTTCTTTCCTGCGGAATGGCTGCAGGGGCCGGGTCTGCACAGGCAGAGGGCTGGTGCTCAGGGCCTGGCCACCAGTGTCTGTGTGACCCCTGGGGGTCTGGGCCCGGAGGTCTCGCACTCGAGGTGGGGGTGCTTCCGCTCTGCCACCTTTCCTCCTAGGCCTCAGGCAGATGGTTCTGGGGCCCCTACTAGGCGCCTGGGCCTTGTCCAGCCCATCCTGGAGCAACTTGAACCGCTTGCTCCTCTTGGACTGCCCAGCCAGGCCAGCCTCGTCTGCCTCTGGGGGAGCCGGGCCCCAGGAGCGTGTTTCAGGCCTGTTGCATGGCGGGCAGCCCTCAGTCCTAGGGCAGGGGGCTCTGGGCTCTGGTGTGGGTGCCATGGCTAGGAGCAGGGACTGGGCCCTGGGCTCTGAAGTCGCCCCTACCCTGGTCTTGGGGGGCTGTCCAGTGCTGGGGACTCTAGGGCCCAGAGGGTCTTCGTCGGCAAAAACGTCAATGAAGCTGCTGTCGATCTCAGGGGTGTCTGATGGGTCCTCCAGGCCGTTGAGTGCCTCGGTGATGAGGCTGTCCAGCTTGGCGACATCCTCTAGGTCCAGGTCCGAGGCTGGGAGCGGTAACGGGGCAGTGACTAGGCCATGGAGGACGTCCCCATCAAGCAGGAAGCTGGCCATCTTGGTGGGGCCCAGTAAGCTCGGGTGTTGTGTGTCGGCTGGTGCCCTGGGTGTGGCCAACACTGGGGGGGTGGGCGTGGGGGGCCCTGGGGGGCCCTCGGGGGCCCTGGGCAGCAGCAGGCCACAGAACTGCCGGTGTTGCAGGAAGGAGGCTAGGTTGCTGTAGTTCTGGTCACACTGCCGGCAGGTCAGCAGCACGTCCAGCTGGTCCAGGCTGGCACTGCTCAGGGGAAAGTGGTGAGCAGAGTATGGAGGCGGCTCCTGGGAAAAATCCCCCAGTGCTGCTCTGCTTGAGCCTGGGCCCGTGCTGGTGAATGGTGCCTCCTCCACGCACTCGAAGGCCCTGTCGGGCCCTAGCGCTTCCGACGGGAACGGGAAGGCCTTGGGCGGTTCAGGCTGGGGCTGGTAGTGGATGGGAACAGCAGGGAGGGGCTTGGGGGGCGGGAAGGTGTTGCCACCCTCCTGGGGATGGGTGGGATGGTGGAAGAAGGCTGAGGGCCCCAGCAGCCCAGGCAGCTGGCCCTCCTCTGAGCTGGGGTTGGCTGGGCTGCTGGACAGCGGCGACAAGGATGAGCAGGAGCTGCCGCTGGCCACGGTGGTGGCAGGTGAGGGGAGCGGGGACTCGCTTGGGGAGGCGCCCACCCCTCTGGGTTGGGGCAGCCCGGGGATCCCACGGGGGGAAGACTGGGGTGGGGTCACCCCAAAGAATAGGGGCTGGGCAGCTGCGTCCTGCAGGCCACTGTACGAGAAAAGCCCAGGGGGGCTGCCGCTGGGCGTGCCAGGGCTGTTCCTTGGCACCGCCAACTTCTCTGCTGGCCCAGGCGTGTGGCTGGGGCCACCCAGGGCTCCTTGGCTGCTGCTCAGCCACTTGGGGGCCCCAGTGGGGTATGGCAACTGGTTCAGCAGCTCCACTGGGGTAGGGCTGGGCCTGGTGACTGGGAGCACTGGGGGCCAGGGCCGTGGGGGGCTATGCGGAAGGCAGAGCCCCTGGCCTTTGAAGAACGCTCCCCTGGCTGTGGCCGGGGGCACTGAGGGCACAGTGGGGTGGGGGGCTGTGGCGGGGTCCATCAGGGGCAAGGCCTTGCTGGCCCCCTCCCACAACTGGGGCCGTGGGGTGGGCGTGCATCCCGGGGTGGCAAGCTCCTTGTCCAGAGGTCCTGGGCTAGTGCCCACGCTGGGGGCTTTGGGGCTGCCATAGGCTTTGCTGAGAAAGTGCATTGGGGGCAGAGGATTTGGGGGCCCCCTTGGACTTGCTGCCTCGTCATGGGCTGATGGCGGCCTTTCGGGCAGGGCTGGGGTCAGGCTCTCGTGCAGACTGGCCAGGAAGGGGCTGGGGGCTGGGGGAGCAACACCAGGTGGGGAGAGAGCCCCACTGAGGTCGTGGGGTGTGTCAAGACTGCTGGCTGGGCCCGGGTAGCAGGGCAGCAGTGAGGGTGGTGGCTGGGCAGGCAGTTGATAGGCCGGGTTAGCGCCCACTGGCCCCTCTGGCCATGCGCCCTGAGTCAGGTGGAAGGCAAACACCACGGCCCCGTTGTTGGCATACTCCTGCCGGGCCGTGTCCAGGGAGAAGGGCTTCGGACTGGCCCTGTGCAGTGCTGGGAAGGGGTACTGAAAGGAGACCACCCCGGCGCTGGAGCTTGGTCCACTGTCTTCGGGAAAGGGCTCAGGCTCGGTGGGAGGGACCCCGAAATTAGCACCTGGGAAGCTGCTCTCAGCAGCAGGAGGCCAGGAGTTGGCCCTGCTGGCTGGGAATTCCAAGTAGGAGGCGGGCCTGCTGGGGCTGGGCCCGCGGGACCGGGGGGCACTCAGGGGTGGGGGCCCAGGGGTGGGGCTGGGTGAGGTATAGTCGGTGGAGGTAAAGCTGGAGTGGGTCTCCGGGAAGCACCTTTGGAAGCTGAGCTGGTCAGGCACAGGTGGGGCCTCGGCTCTCAGGAGGCTGGGTGTGAGGGGGGCTCCTGTACCTGGGCCCTGGGGGGCCTCAAGTGGGGGGTCCTCGGGGATCTCGTCTGGGGCTTGTTTGTCCTTTGCGCCAGTGATGCTCAGTCTGTAGACCTGCTGTGGGCTGCCATCCCCCCTGCCAGGTCGCCGGGCTCGTGTCTGCATATGGCCCTTCCTTGGGGGACCCTGGAGGCTGCCCCCCTTTCTGGGCTGCCACAGGCTGCTGCTCAGGGCCCCAGGTTCCACCTCACTGGCCTGCTGTGGCTGAGCCTTAGGGAGCTCTGTGGCCTGGGCCCCACTGCCCACCTCCCTTGTGCCCTTGGTGGTCCTACAGGCCTGGGTGCCATCCTCGCTGGGGGGCCGGGAGGGGCGCCCTGAGTTGTGGCAGGCTGAGCGGGGCTGCAGGTCTCCGGTCATGGCCAGGGGCAGTGCTCCGAGGGGCTGCTCCCCTGGCATGGCCGCTCAGTCTGGACGCTAGGAGGATGTGCAGGGCCGTGGAGGGCAGTGAGGGGTGGGCTGGGTGGCCATCCTTGACCCACAGGGGGCCCCGGGGAAGCCGGCTCTCATGGTCCCAAGTGGAGCCTGGAAGAGAAGGACAGCAGTGAGTTGGGTGCAGTGGGGGGCTGGGTGGTCCCCAGCAAGAAGCCCACGTGGGCCTGGTGGCTTCCCACGGAGGTGGTGGCGCAACTGTAGCTGGTACAGAAACTCATGCCTTTAGGGGAGGGGTCTTCAGCTCAGAGGGCACCTTAAAGAGACAAGAGGGAGGGGGTTCCTGCCACACTCAGTGAGAGATTCCCCAAAGGTGGGGGAGAGAGAGATGGAAAGACAGAGGCAGAGACAGAGAGAGACAGAGAGGCAGACAGAGAGAGAAAGAGAAACAGACAACCCTGGGGTTGCAGTGGCCTGGAAACACGGGGTACATCCAGACATGTCTGTCTGAACTTTGCCAGCCGACCAGACCAGCCCTCTGGGTGGCCCTCTCTGTTTCTGAGTCCTGAGGGGCCCTAGGGAGGTTCCTTCCCATCTCTTTCCCTCAGTCTTCTCCTCTGTAAAATGGGAAGGGTTGCATCTGAGGGGCTTCAAGGAGTCTCGAAGCTAGGAGGCTCTAGGGTTGGGCCCTCCTCTGCGGCACACCCTGCCCCAACCTCCCAAGCCTCATGGCCCAGCATACTCGGAGATCCCTCCCTATCACCCAGCAAGACCTGGTCCCACCGCCTCCTCTGTGTCCTGCAAAAGCCGTGGGCAGCTTGTCTCTGTCATTGTCTAGGATTATCTCTGGCCGTGGCACAACTGGGATGACACCAGCTCTCAGCCCAAGGCCTCGCCTGGCCAGCCCAGGGTCATTCAGCTGAGTGCTGAGGTGGGCAGGGTGACTACCTGCCTTCTTTGGACTGACCAGTGTCTACACAGCTCTGAGCTGTGGAAGGCTCAGAATACTAACAAGGGAGGGCTGGGAGGAGAGTGCAAAATGAAGGGCCTGACCTTGGTTCCTCTGTCTCCTCCATGTGGGACTGCCTGAAGCCTCCCACCTGGGCCTGTCCTCCCAGGCATCTTCTCCTGACCCCAAATGTCCCAGACTGCGTTTCTGCCCCACTGCCAACTTTTCTGGGAAAACTCCCCTCCATTCAGAGAAGCTAATCTGAGTCACCTGGCAGAGGAAACAATCACAGCAAATAAATTCATACTACAGTGTGAATGGTTGCACCTCAAGTCCTGCAGACAGGCTGCACTTAGGCCTGTAATTGTTGTCAGAGAGTCAGAGGAAAGAACCTCTGCCAATTTGGAGGAGCATTTCTGTAGGGGTCTTTGCAGGGCTTAAACCCGGCCAGACTGGCTCTCTAGCGGGCTCATGTCTGGAGTGTGTAGGGGTGCTGTTGCACAGGAGGGAGGCACATCTGCAGACCCTCAGAGCTGTCAGCAACCCCAGCAACCACACAGGAAGTGACTGCTGGTGGTTGTAGTCTAGACACTGAGCTTCAGAAGTCAGGACCTGTTCTGGGAGGGCAGGGCTGCTTACTCCAGGGTTTCTCCCAGTGGGCTTGAACAAAGGGGATCCCAGACCTCGTCAGCACCCTGAGGATGAGGCCTACACCTGTATTTCTGCTAGCACTAGGCTCCTTCCCCGGGAGACCTGCTTGGGACCCCCAATAGGAAGACTACTTGGGGACTTGGCAGTGGCAGGCCTCCTAATGGGGGCAGTTCCAGCGCCGGATAGCAGGGGGTGCCCGGCTCCGGCAGTGTCTACAGCCCGCGATGCTCCAGAACCCTGCTCCCCAGAGGTGGCCGTGGGGGTTAGGGGGGCAGGTAGGTTGCATTGTTACTTGATAATCCCCAGTGCCGGCAGGCCCGACAACCTGGCTGGCCTCACATTAGATGTGGGTAAAGTGATGCTCGAAACCTCCAGCAGACATGGGTGGACTCAGGGACACGTTCTGTTACCTCTGCCAGGTATGAGTGAGCACCTTGGCCAGCCTGGCTTTGGGAACTTGGGACACCAGCTCTTGTCCCAACACTGCCCACCTCTGGGTCACGGGGATAGGGTTGGACCAGGTGAGGCCCTCCAGGAGCCTAGTGGCAAGGCCTGGGAGCTTACTCTCAGCACAGCCTCTGGACACCTGCCCAGTGCCATGCGACCAGAGGAGCACACAAGATGACAGCTGCAGGGCCCTGTGCCTGCCACAGTGCACTGGAGGGCCCACAGAGGCCATGGGGGCAGGGAGCAGTTTACTGAGCACATACTGCATGCCTGGTCCTGGGGGTGCGGATGAGGTGCAGAACCTGCAGGAGGCCCCTGCAGTGGAACTCAGAGCAGGAGGAGACGGGCTCCATGAGAGGGCGCCTGCTCTGGGCCTGGGGGGCGGCAAGGAGGCTTCCAGGAGGAGGTGGCATCCGACTGCCCCATGGGATGGCAGGCTTGGGATTTTTGGGGAGGAGAGGGCGCTCGGCGAGGGAAGTGTGAGTAGAGGCATGGTGGCAGGGGTGGCGGCGAGGACACTTCGGGAAACCTGGAAACAGAGTCTGTGCCACAAAGGCGGGGCCTGGGAGCAGCTTCAGCTCAGGAGGGCGGCCAGTGTGGACCCTGAGCAGGGTGGCCACAAGGGCGGCCCCAGGCTCTCAGTAGTCCATCCAGGTAGGCGCATCTCTTGGGGTGAGCCCCTGCTGGCTGGCTCCAAAGACCCCCACAGACCTAGTTGCCCAACTTTGGGTGCCAGTGAGTCAGGGCAAATCCCGGGCCAGAAACGCTGGGCTCTTGCCATTTGGAAAACCTTCTGTGTTGCCTGGGACTTGGCATGCTGACCCTTGGCCTGAGAGGTTCATGCCCAGACCTCAGGGCCCTCAGGACCTCAGAAGTCGCAAAGCTGGTGGACTCAGCCACCCAGGGTAGACAGTTGGGCTTCCCTGCAGGCCCGAGAGCCCTGACGTCAGAAAGGTCTCCCTCGCCCCACAGCTTGAAGCCCCTGGTTCAGCAGGCTACCTGAGACCCTGGGGAAGGAGGAAGGGGAGGGCTGGGCTGGGCATGCCTACGACTCCCGAGCTTGCCCAGGGTGCCAGGTAAGGCTGGAGTAGGCAATGCCCAGGCCATGCAGCACCCTGGGAGAGCTTTGAGTGGGTGGGCGGGGTGTGGGCCGAGGAGGCCGGTGGGCCTGGTGCCAACCCCCTTACCCCATGCTGGCTGTGTGCCCTCACACATCACCTGGCCCTGCTGGCCTTGGCCTCCCCATCTGTAACCTGGGGTGACACCAGAACCTAGCTCTGGTGATGAGATCAGGGCATATCCTCCGTATAAGGCATTTAGCAGAGCCCACAGCGGGCACTCAGCACACCTCCCCTGTTAATATTGTCATTATTCAGTCACATCACAGTTTTGAGCCTGGATTTGATCATTGGTACAAGTATGAGTTGCCGTCAAGTTGACCCCGAATCATGAAGCCCCATGTGTGTCACAGTAGAACTGTGTGTCCAAAGGGTTTTCAATGGCAGATTTTTTGGAAGCAGAATGCCAGGCCTTTTTTTCTGAGGTGCCTCTGGGTGGACTGGAACCTCCAGGCTTTTTGGTGAGTAGCCGAGTGCATGAACCATTAGCACCACCCTGGGACCCCGCTCATGGGTAGAGGAGATGAGAACGGATCTTGCCCACAGGTTGTATGAGGCATAAACACCTGGCACAGTACATGGTACTTTATGGGGAGGGGGCTAGTGGGGTGGGTGGGTGGGAATCTGAAAAGAGGAATAAAGTGCTCATTAGTGGATCTGAAGAGAGCTGTGCATGGGCCTGCATCAAGGACCAGGACTAGATGATGCCTTGAGTGTTGCCTTGTGGCTGCCATGACAACATCTGTTAACACACTGCCCCTCTCCCGCCCTCTGGCTCAGACACCCACCCTGACAGCTGGGCTCCGGGAGATGGTCCCTTGGGGAGGCAGCTGGCAGCCCTAATTACCAGCCCGAGTGGGGAGCCGGAAGCCAGGGTGGTGGCTGGAGGGGAAACTTGGGGACAAGGGCATCTCTGGCAGTGGGCTGCCAGCCAGCCTCAGTGCCAGGCGGCCTCTTTCACATACCTGGGGAGTCAGCCCTCAGCTGGGTTGCTGCACAGCTTCCTGAGGAATGAGCGTTTCTTGGCTGCAAAGGAAATGGAAAGCATGTCAGAATCAATGTAGTCCTTGGCACTGGGCGGCACATCCTGGGCTGAGAGCCCCGGCAGGGAGGGCAACAGAGGGGCTCCCGGGGGTGGGGGGCGGGGCCCTGGCTGGGCCACAGGCACTGGCAGCTGCCAGGGCTGGGGGAGATGGGTGAGCCCTGTGGGGCCATTGGACAATGTGGCCAGGCTGGGGTAGCTCTGGCAGCTGTGGAGTCAGCTGGCCACCCTCTCCACAGACTTGTTATTATTATTTTACATTTCTTCTGATTACTTTTTTTTAATGCATAGACTGTACCTTCATATGGTTCAGAAGCTCAAAGCAGTACTGAAAGGCAAGCCGAGAAGTGTCCCTCCTCCACCCTGCCCCGCTGACTCTCTTCCCTGATCCAGCCAGGGAAGTACTCACAGCTTCTTATGTCTCTTTCCCCAGGTTCTTGATGTGAGTACCAGCAAATATGAATAAATATTCCCTCTTTTCCTACACAAAAGATGTCTACTACATTCACTGTCTGCACCTATCTTGGAGAAAATTCCACAGCAGTCCATAAAGAGATTCCTGTCTGTCTCTCTGTTTGTCCATTTACCCACCCACACACGGCCGCAGAGTATTCCGCTGAATGGACAGATGGCTGCTTATGTACTCAGATCCCTACAGCAGACACTGGGTGTTTCCTATATTCAGCCTCCAAAATAGCACAGCTCTGAATACACACACATGTGAGACCTGCAGGATGAACTCTGAGAAGGAGGGTTGCTGGGTCCTAGAGGAAAGGCATTTGTAACTTGGAAAGAGACTAAAATTCACCCCTGTGGTGGT